AAAAATAAAAATATAATTCCTTGGATTAGCTTATTCTATTCCACAGCTCAAGACAAAGTTGGAGGAAGAATTCATTCTATTCCATGGGATAACGGCTGGGTAGATTGCGGGGCACAATTCCTGCATGGTGATAAGAGCAGGCTTGCTCAATACTGTCTCAACAATGATTTATTATCGACAATTCAAGGAACGGACGGCGACGGAATTTTCTTACGCGATGACGGAACGATAATGAGCGACAGTTTGGTTCGTGAAGTCGATGATTTCGTACGAACCGTCTTGGATGATATCTGCGAATCTCAAAAGCCTTTGAAAAAGAAGGAAAATATCGGTTCTATCATGAGAAATAGGTTTGAGGATTATTTACACGAGCGAAATGATCCTCCGGTGGAAAGGAAAATGAAGGAGGAAATCTTCGATTGGAACGTGCGGTTTCTCCTGGTGGATAATTGCTGCTACTCGTTAGACGATTTGTCAGCAGTTCTTTGGGGAAAGTTCAAGGTAAATCCAATTTTAATCATAGTTTCAAAAATAAGCACTGTAAAAACAATAATTTCTACAGTACGTTGGCGGACCGGAACATTTGCTCTTCAAATCCGGCTACAGTTCTTTAACAAATCTTATCGTTGACAATTTGAATAAGCGAAAAATACGTTTATCCACTCCCGTGGAGGTCATTCACTGGCGGAACTTCATTGACTCTCCAAATGATTCTCCAGTTATCGTGAAAACTTTCGATGGCACTGAAATTCTTGCTGATGCGGTCATAGTTACTTGTTCGCTTGGCTATTTGAAGAGTAATCATCAGAACATGTTCCAACCGCTATTACCAAACCGTCTAAGCATTGCTATTGAGAATCTTGGTTTCGGAACGATTAATAAGATTTTTCTGGACTTTGGTGAACCCTGGTGGCAAAGAGGTGTGAATGGTTTCCAATTGCTTTGGCGCAGGGATGTCGATCACTCATCTTTGCCTGAATGGACCAAGTATGTCACAGGATTCGATGTTCTGCCGATTCATGCAGCCACTCTTATAGTGTGGATCGGCGGGCGAGGAGCGTGTATCATTGAAGAATTGTCAGAGGAAACAATTGCGGAGGATTGCATGAATCTGTTGACGCGATACGTACGGTATCGCGATATACCGCCAGTTAGAAGATGCATTCGAACTAAATGGAACGAGAATAGATACGTGAGAGGCGGTTACAGTCATATTACGAAAAGTTGTGAGGAGAATGATGTTTCACCAAAGATATTGACCGAACCAGTCTGGGCGACAATGCAAATTGATATGAAGAGGAAAAAGGTGAGATTATATCGTATTTACGTAACTTATTAACTACATTTTATTTAACGTTAAAAAAAAAATCTTAAATTGAAGATTTTATCACAGTCATATTTTTAAGCATTTTTATATTATTTATATATATATATATATAAATTAAGATAACGTAAAAATTTGAAAAAATAAATTTAAAAAGACAAATTAAAATGTATTGTCCAACTTGTAAATTTTTGCGAATATAATAGAATCTACCAGTCATACTGTTTGCCGGCGAAGCTACGCATGATGAGTTTTACTCGACGACACATGGAGCTTACGAAACAGGAATCCATCAAGCCGAAGTATTTTTACAACATTATATGAGCAATGACTAAATACGT